GGGAGAGGTCAAAGTGGTCCTCAGGATAAAAAAAAGAGTGTAGTAAGTTCCTGCTGAGAAGATTGAGGAAACTTAGGAAAGGGACTCACTGATTAATCAGTTGAATGACGCACTTCGCAAGGAAGTACCCTGCCGCTGCCTTGCCTGCAAAAATGACTGCACGCGGTACAACATCCGCTCGCTGGGCTGGGGAAAGCTTCTGCACTCGGAAAGAACATTTGACATGCAAGAAGCAAACCAGAGTCGATCATCAGTTAGCGCACCCAGGAGGAGTCAGCACTGACATGCAAGAAGCAAACCAGAACTGACATTCGGTCAGTACCAGTGCTCTTCAGATGTTCATTTGGCTGTAATGAAGGAAGCCTGGTCTGGATGGATTGCAATCTTGACTTGCCAGTCTTGCCACAGGAAAATGAACTGGACTGTGAGGCCCTTTTTTTTTATGAAGACAAAAAGCAACAGAAAAGAAACAGCACTGAATTCACAGCTTCAGGTGACAGACGGACAGCCCAGCGTCCAGTGGCTACAGTATGATCCCAGAAAGTCAGGACCAGACAGCTCAACTAAGTTGAATTAACATAGGGACACCAATCACTGATCGGATGAGTCAAAGGCTGGCCACTTCCACCACAACAATCATCTGACTACCGTCTTCAACCAAATAGAACGCCCGGTCATTATCGCTGCATATGGACTGAAAGTCGCCCCAAATACAGCTATCGTGACCAGGCGTTCTATTCGAGTGAAGACGGTAGTAGCTACATCATTCACACGGAATCACACCACTTGGACCAACCAGGACAAGCACTCAAAAATCGCCCCAAACACACGAAACTGCTTTATATGCCAAAACGAAGAAACGAAGAGAATGAGAGTGAAGATGAGAAGCATAAGGAGAAAACTTGTTGACGAGTGGTCAATCCGAGCGGGACGACCCGACATAGTCTGGAAGGAAAATGAACGACAAGCAGCAGCGGGAAAACAAAGAGGAGAAGCAGGGAGGAGGAGATGGAAAAACCAGCCAGACTATGATCAGGGGACGACATTGAAGGGGAGGGGTTCAGGGAGTGCTCAGTCACCCTGAATGCAGGGACCAACCAGATTGCCAGCACGACCAACAGGATTGACAGGAACACAACGAGCAGGGGAGGAGGACGTTGACATCAACAACAAGGAAGACGAGGAAGAGGTGGCATGAGGCACAGAAGAAGAACAGAAAAAGGGGCCCGTGGGTAAAGAGAGGGGCACAGGGAAGGGGAAGGGGAAGGGGATGAGGAGGGTGAAGAAGACGAAGATGACGACAAAGATAACGAGGAGTAGCGGGGGCGACAATGGCAAGGAGTAAACATAGTAACAAGGAAGATGAGGCCGAGGTGGCATGAGGCACAGAAGAAGAACAAAAGAAGGGGCCCGTCGGTAAAGAGAGGGGCACAGGGAGGGGGAAGGGAGAAGGAGGGTGAAGAAGACGAATGACGACAAAGGTAACAAGGAGAAACGGGGATGAAAATGGCAAGGTGTAAACATAGTTATAGAAACCCACCCTGGTGCAGGTATCTGCTTCCTTGCCATTCAGTGGGACCAGCAAACAGAAAAAGTAACACATTCAAGACACAGGAAAAATATGGAGTGTGCATGAGCCCATTACCGATACCGAACGTAACGGCATCCATATGTCCGGCCTGCCAGTGCAGTAAGAGCAGCAAACAGAAACAGGAGGCGCCAGCAAACATGTGCGGTAGGAACAGAGTCATCTCGTATGCACGAGCCCATTGCCGATTCCGAATGTAACAGGATTCATTTGTCCCCAAAGGTTGTCACAAAAGTTTGCCTACCTTGATGAAATGATAGCGATGAATAACACTAAGGATGTTAAGCAACTGCCTCTTGTACTCGTGGATGCGTTTCACTTGAACATCGAACAGCGCCTCTTCATTCAGCTGCAACATGAAGCCAGGACCGGACCAAATCACACCAGTCAGACAGCTCTGACTACTTCAAATGATCTAGCACAGTTGGCAAGAAATGAATCAAGGTCTGCATGCAGTTCTCGATGCACCCAGCAGTTTCGACTTTTTCACAGAAGAGTTACATGTAGATGTAGATGTAGATGTAGATAAGGCCATGTTGAGCATCATCATTTGATTTTCTTTGCTCCTTTTGCTTTTCTTTCCTCCTCGTCGCCATTGACTTTCAACACATTAATTCTTCTTCTACATTTAGCAGAGTGAACAGACATAAACAAGGTCACTTCTGCAGCGATTTTCGTGGTGGCTGCATCTACGCAAAAACATCCATACACCCAGAACATGCGAACGCTCCCAGCAGGCCCTCGTTTTCTCAATGGACTTGCAATGCACACCTCCATCCATGTTAGCAGCTCTCATTGCTTTGTGGACGCTTTGTCTGCGGATACATCTTGTGCCTGCAAAATTGTGCAAATCGTCACCAGCTGAGGAACCCTATCACCTTCCCCGTGGCAACGTTGGCAAACATTATCTTCCTGCTCATCCAGTCATTGGAGATACAGGTCATTATATCTCTCATTATCTTCCTGCTCATCCACTCATTGGACACAGGTCATAATATTTATGTGCCAGCATGTGCAGCTGTAGGAGAGCTCTACAGTGACCACTTGGATACCACTAAACAACAGCTGTCGGAGACCACGTGATCATCAACTCCAGTCACAACTTGGGTGCCACTAGTTGAGAGCTCTACTTGATCATCGATTCCCTAGCCCGTGGCAACGTTGGCAAACATTATCTTCCTGCTCATCCAGTCATTGGAGATATAGGTCATTATATCTCTCATTATCTTCCTGCTCATCCACTCATTGGACACAGGTCATAATATTTATGTGCCAGCATGTGCAGCTGTAGGAGAGCTCCACAGTGACCACTTGGATACCACTAAACAACAGCTGTCGGAGACCACGTGATCATCAACTCCAGTCACAACTTGGGTGCCACTAGTTGAGAGCTCAACTTGATCATCGATTCCCTAGCCAGTGGGATATCTATCATCAGACCTGTAGCCACATGTCATCCCCGTATTTTGCCACTTACGTGCATACGCCGAAGCCCGTTAGGACTCTCTTCAACCTGCACATGGCTAGATCACCCGGTTCCCAATTTGATCCTCTCATAACATGGATGCAATCAACAATTTAGGGCATGCAGTGTAGATGCACTACCTACCTGATGGGTGGCTGAACAGTACACACCCAGTAGTGCTGTGTACCTGTCTAGCAACGCAATAGAGCTGGTGATCCGCAGCATATGGGTTCAAATTCCATCCCAGTAAAATAATGTAATAAGGGCTAACTTCTTGCTCATGGGGGAGAGAACAAACTCAAAAACAATGCACCAAGGCTGCACCGTGCACAACTCGTTTTCACAATGAAGTGAAAATGTGCATCCAGAAACGAGCACCTTGAACCCCACAACCTCAGAAAAGTGCCTTTGAAATATAAGACCCATATTAACTACTCACCTTCACAGCCCCACACTCTACATACTAGTATCAAATAACCGAAAGACGTGACATGGCGGCTCCTTTCTCTCACCGTTATGCCACAGAGTTTTTCGATGTAGGCCACCAGTCTGCGTTTATTTGCTTGTTTTGCAGCTCTCCAGTCGGCCTGAAGTTCGGGATTTTCAGCATGCGCTTTCATTTCCTGCAATAAGATCACACCCAAACCACAAACTTGAACCAATGAACTAACCAACACGAACGCATAGCTTTTTCCCCAGATGCCAAAGGAGGCTTGACAGAGAGCACACTGATTGCTGGACCCTGTGCCTGCAATGCAACACAACATCATACTTGTTACACAATCTTCTTTCGCCTCTTCTTTTTCCTCCTCCTTGGTCTTCTCCCTCGTCATCTTCTTGCTGTACAGAACAGCCGTAAGATAATCAGTTAAATAATAACAATAAAGGAGATCCCGCGTTGATGGCCCGTTCAAAAATTGGCATGACACTGAAGGCACACAAACTCTTAAACCACCACTGCCTGGAGGTCTTCTGTCAATCTCTACCAGGTACTCGTGTCATGAACGAATCTAACCAGCTGCCCGCGCACAATTCAGACAGTACATCTGAATTGTGCCCTCCTTATGAGTCGACACATCCATCGCCCGGTAGTGGTGGTCTAAAACACCGGCGTGCACAACTCTCTTCACCCCAACACTTAGTGTTGCACACCCTGACAACTCAAGTGTCATGAGGTCAGGGCCTACCAGCTGGGTCGCCAGCCGGCAAACACGACCACGGCCCCATATTAACAGGTCCACAAAGGGCCCAGGTGCATACTGGTGGTTGATGGCACGAGTCCAACGTGCTCGATCGATACGACGTACAAAAGACAACACTTAGCCTTCACAATTATAAGCTCCTCGGAATAGAACATGTTGTGAGGATGGATCCCTCGAGGATATGCTACACTGTCTGATAAACTGTCCTAACACACAAAGAATTTGGAACAGAACGCGGCGGTACTGGGTGGAACTAGTAAGAGCATCGCTATCGGACAACCCACTGACTCTACTGACGGGGGTGGCACAACCAAGTTTCAGAGAACCCTGGCATTCAACCCTCTTCACAAGACTTCATCCTTTTACACTGTGGATCATATGGAAGACTCGATGCAAACAAACGATATCACGCCAAAAATACATCGACCCGGGAGGCCTGGGAGATGGTTCTACAGCTTCTACATATGGAATATCAGGCAGATTGGCGCAGAGCAAACAAGAATATCAAGGATGATCCCACAAAAAAGCAATTCATAATAGAGAAATTCATCAAGGACAGGCTTGGAACGGGTAAACTCGGCACAATACAAGGTGATCCCCCGCGTTTGATATGGAAAAGGAGGGAGGAACAGCAGGGGAGAGACAGATCCATGGACTTCGTCTTGTTAGAAACGACACAATCACAAAACACTTCACTAGACATAAATTCAGCATAACGGATTTACAGAAAGGGGGACAGTAGGGTTTAGGGTTTAAGAGAGCAGATAGAGAGGAGGAAAGTTAAGGGGTTTAGGGTTGTGGAATAGCATAGGTATTATTTCCTGGAACAGGGATTTGTAAACTAAAGAATCTTCACTAACAGGAGTTAAAATGGAAAACCTTTTATAGGATTCATACGCGTCCCAGAACACTCTGGCAAAACACACCTATCTGACAGTTACAAAATTGAGAGGAGTAGAACTGGGATCAGAGGGTTGGGCAAACTGAGATAGAACAGGCTAAATTAGGCAGGGGTGAGGGGTGGTATATCCTTCCACAAGGAAGTAATCAATGCGGTCCACTCGGGCCTCTCAGCCATAATGGGGAGGAGCGTGAGTGTGTGTATTATGTATTTCATATTGACTTGCCAAGGGAAAAGGAACCAGAATCACGAGGTAAACCACCAGTACCTCGCCCAGTGTTGGGAAATTAGGGAAAACTGGCAGTCTTCCCAAACTCCCGAAAATTCGGAGGCCGGGCCCGACGACGGCTGCCATTGATAAATCTGATCAGCGGCGGTCGTTTCGTTTCAGCCATCCGAAAAGGTCGGAGGCCCACCTGAGGCCCGCTATTTTCCGACGCGGCAAAGGTACTAGTGGGTTAAAAAAAAAAAAAAAAAAATGCGAACAGCATATAACACTCCCTCAGAGAAGCAATAACGTCATACCCAGCCGATGTAGCTGAATGGTACACACATGTAACTGTTAATGAACAGATCATGAGTTCCTCAGATTGAATAACCTTGCGGGGTCATCCCCTTAAGAATTGAAAAAAGCAAGGTACTAATACAATGATACATCCACCGATGGGTCGATAACCACCGCCCGCTGTCCTTCTGTTTCCTTTTAATGTCCCTGTTAACTACTTATGAAGGCGACAGAAAAACATGTGATATGTCTCACACACCTGAAGACGTGCTAGATCATGGACCCATTCCTCTGATCCAAGCCATTTCGTGTATACCTGCCTTGTTCACAGAGAAAAGTGAAAAGAGAGAAAATAAAGCCGATCAGTGAGCCAGCAACACCCGTCAGGGCACTCCCCTCAGTGAGTCCAGCCTGTCATCACGTGTACAACCATTTCCAAAAGCAACAAAGGGAAAGGAGTTTTCAACAGCGACTACTCATCTTCACTGTTAAAGAGTAATAAAAACTGGCAGAGTTTTTGTAGAAGATCAACTAACTTCTTTCAAGTTTTTTCTTCTCTTTTCCTTGACTATGTTACAAGTGAAGTCCCACTGTAGTGCAGGGAGCAGGTGGCCTACGCTCTCTCTTTCTCCCTCCCCCCGCCCAAGCCACCAACCCCTCAGCTGAAGCGGGAGAGAGGGCACAGGGAGGCGGCGTGCAGCGGGCGTTCAGGGGAGAAGCTAACGCAACCACTGCCCTACTCTAGAATCCCTCCAACGAAAAGGGAAAAAGAGAAAAAGAAGAGAAGCAGTAGCTTTCACGTGTCATCATGATGATACTTCATCACCGTCTCAGGTCCTCACAATGGGCACATGAAGAACAATAAAGTTGAGGAGAAAAAACTTTTGTCATTAGGAAGAGGATGAAGTCGCAAATAATTAGGTTGACATCCATTACGCACTTTTGAACATTTCAGGTGTTTGCTATGGATATCTGGCAAAGGAGTAGGAGAAGGAAACAGTGGTTGTCTATATCCAGGAATAAATCAAGCGTCTGCCATTTTGGGAGAAGGGGGGGGGGGGGGGGGGGGGGGGGGGGGGGGGGGGGGGGGGGGGGGGGGGGGGGGGGGGGGGGGGGGGGGCCAGGAAGGTAAATGGAGTGGGGGAAGTGCTATGGCTGAGGGAGGTGGGATACAACTATGCACCAAACTGTACGTCTGCTCTACCTTGGACCTGTTAAGACTGGAAAGCATTCCAAACAAACACGAAAAGAAAAAAGAAAGCCAGATAACGAAAAATCTTTGTACCTGTGAAGACTGGAAGGCATGCTTGTGGAAAATATTAGCATATTGCAGAACAAGCAGAAGTGGGGGGCCGGGCGGGCCGGGGGGGGGCCGGGGGGGCCGGGGGGGCCGGGGGGAATCCCCAAAAATTGTGGGTAAAATTTAATCATTGAGATTTATTCCAAGGTATTCAAGACTCAGAAGATATAGAATGGACTATATTTCCCTTGGATATACAGATATGGCTGGTATCTAAAAACCACCCCTTGTCGTATTGCAAAGTGTGAAATCCCCAAAAATTGTGGGTAGAATAACTAGAATTTAATTATTCAGATTTATAACAAGGTATTCAAACTCGGAAGATATAGAATGGGCTATATTTCCCTTGGATGTACAGTTATGGCTGGTATCTAAAAACCGCCCCTTGTCATATTGCAAACTTTTTTTTTTTGGCCGTATTGCAAATGCGAGGACTGAGCCCTCACGGGGCCCTAACAGACATGCAAGTGTTCTTGGCTGTGGGCCCCAGCAAGCATTGTGTCCGCCCTAAATGAAGGCGGGCCTGCATATCCACAAGAGGCCTATTTTCTACATTTTTCCATATGTGGGTATACAGACAGTTGCAGCACGCCAGTTGATTGCAGGGAAACGTGAGCCTCCAGGCTATTTCCAGAAAACAAGGACTGCACTGTACTGTTGAGCCCAGGGCCGTGTGGTTGCGCCTTGGGCACATGCAGCGTGAGGCCGACACATCACGCAGCGGCCATTGACGAATGAGAAAGCAGCATTGTCGTCACACAATCTCTGTGAGCCAATGAGAATGTTGCCAACCCTTGGAGCCTGGGAGGCTACCTATACGTGCCCAACAGAAAAGGGCCCAGGCCCTTAACTGTAGAGGTGGGCCTGGGCACAGAGACTGGGGCCCGACTGGAAGCTACTGGAAACTTCCCCGGCCAGGCCCAGGCAGACACACACAGGGGCTGCACTTTCCATAAAGGAAAGAGGCCAGCACAGGCAGGGGATTCTGGCCTAGGCAGGCAATGCGGACACGCTGCTGCGTTGCTGCACAAGTGTCTGCATCGGCGATGCTGGTCGGATGCGCACACGCGTGCTGAGGTGAGGGGCGCTGCAAGGGGAGCGGGCACACAGGGGCCATAGCCGGGCTGCAGGCGCGCAAGGCAGGTGATGGCGCAGGTGGTCTTCGGGTAGGAGGCGCATGCTGTGGGGAGACGATGGGTGATGACGAGAGAAGAGAGAATGTACCCGGTCTATGCATGATCGGCATTGGTGTTGCTGCCACATACATTGGTGTTCGACTTCAGAGTGATCCAGTTGCGAGAATGTAGATAGGTTAGGCAGGCTGAGTAGGATAGGCTGGGCGCTGGGCGCCAGACAGTAAGTGCGACATTGGATACAGTGTTGGTGTGACCAGAGAGTGGCGACATTGACATTCGAGTTCATCATATTGCTCTTATTTGGACGGTGTATTGGTGCATTGCAATCTCTGCTTGGTTCATGACTATCTGAGCTATTTCGTGATTTTGCAACTTGGATTTCTGTCTATCGCTCTCGCTCATATTCCTTGCACAAACTTACTATGCCCCACCCCCCCCAAAAAAATAAAAAAATAAAAAAAAAAACTTAAAAAAAGGTATTTAGTGTTTACCATTTAATGGGACAAGATTATGCAACTTCTTCAAACAGACATGGAAATGAAAAAAGGAAATCTGGCCAGATTTCACCTGCAAAATGTTGGGGCCAGGGAGGGGGCAGAGTGAGAGGCAAGTGTGATTTCTAGAACAGCGTCGTCAGGCTCCCCAGAATGGAAATGGACCCAGGGCCATAAGGAGAGTTAAAAAAAAAAAAAAAACAATGTTTTCAGAATGCGCACACACTACCAGAATACTGCTGCAGATTCGAAGCCAACTCCAGTGCAAAGGGGTGTCAGGTGCCACAGGCAGACCAACAGTGGAGAGAAGGGAAAGTGGAGTGAAGGTCTATAAGTAAAAAAACTGCAGTGAGGTTTGACAAAATTTCACCTGCAAAGAATTGGGGGCAAGGAATGCAACCAGATTGCACGCTGGCAGAATACTGCTGCAGATTCAAAGCCAACTCCAGTACGAAGTGGTGTCAGGTGCCACAGGAAGACCAACAGTGGAGGGGAGGGAAGATTAAGTGAAGGTCGATAAAGTACAAACCGCACTGAGGGATGGATTGGCAACAAGTATCCATCGTCGCGGGCTCACTCCGTTCGTCTTGTTCTGGAACTTCCCAGGACACATGTCAACCATATCTCGAAAGAGCCGCGTTCTAACTAGCTGTGAGTGGATCTGAGAGACCCCATTCACTGTATGTGACCCAATGGTAGCCAGCATAGCCATGCGAACCATCTTCGGCCAGCTCTCTTCAATGATACTCATCTTACTGAGGCGCTCCATGTCATCTGGCCACCGAGATGCCACTTCCTATAGTTCATCATTCCGACAAACATGTGTCAAATTGAGTTTTTGCCAAAGTGCCAGCACATCGACAAACAACTGAAGGCCGAAATTTGTAAGCAGTGACAAAAGAACAAACAGAAATCCCATAGATCAAAACCAAAACTCCTAAATGGTAAGAAAGAGGATAAACAGAAATCACAGAGATGATAGAACCTTCTCCCTAAATGGAAATGAACAGGGCGCTAACATGGATTCTTCTTCTTCTTCTTCTTCTTTTTCTTCTTCTTCTTCTTCTTCTTCTTCTTCAGCTTCTGCTTCTTCTTCTGCTTCAGCTTCAGCTTCTGCTTCTGCTTCTTCTGTTACAGATTCAGTCTCTTGGCCGTTTCGTCTGGGTATATGTAACCGTCCGACACACTGGTGGGGCATCTTGAGCTGTGCTCTGTTTCAGACCATTGTAATGTGAGTTCGACATTGAGTTGGTGCTGGTAGTCTTCTCTTAGCGTCCGTCACTGTACCAGTCAAGTTGCGGACCATGGTCTGGTCGCGAAAGTGTATCTGCTCACTCCCTCTCACCCCTCCTCGAACCCAGTCCTCGTTACACTGTGTGGGAGCAGGAAAGACCCACCCTCCCACCCTATTTCTTGCCCAAGCCCCCTGCCACGTGGCACGGCTGTGAGAAGAGCAATCTTTTTCAAGCATCCTGGTCATTTGTGCGGTCCTGATGGACGTGATTCCAGCCATCACTGTAATTCCTCTTTGTTGATGATTATCATCATCATTGTCATCATCCTCAGTGCCATCGTCGTCGTTATTAACACAAGATCATACAAAATAAGCATCCTCACGGTTGCCAATCCTGCTTCATCAAGTTCGTTGTTGTCCTTGCCACCACGGCCCACCATCATCATTATTCCCGACAACCACCACTGTGACCAACCATATTTTGCCAAACTCCACCATGCTCATGGCTCGACTTACCAACGTCGAGAAAAACCGGCAATTGCAATGAAAACCTGGAGCCGCCTATCAGATGGTGGATAAAAGCAGCCGTAGTTTCCCTTTGTGCCACCCTAGACCACTATGCACCTGGGAGGAAAAAAAAAAAAAAAAAACCCTGCTCAGTAGCCTCCTTTACAAGCACGAACTTTGGAGGCCCTGTAGCACAGTGGCAGCATAAGAAAAGTTGCCACCAGTCCAATAGCTGCACAGATATGCTGACAGGTAATGTGAACAACTGACAGGTAATGTGAACAGTCTACACCTGAATCAGGGAGCCTTTCAAATACTGAACAGACCTTTCCTTCACAAAACGCATGAAGCAGTGACAATAAAATCTACATTATCTGTTGATTGAACTTGATTCTGTTCCCTATCTTGCGATCGTGTCCCCTGCATTCGCATTACCCCAGACTCACTATACAGTTTGACGCTACTGCAAGAGACATTTCAGGTCCAGCTGCACCCTCGAGGGGGAAACTCGGACATGCGAGTTTGAATCCGAATTTTTCCCTCTTATCTCCGATGCCTTCAAGTGAACAACCGGTGTCTCCTGACAGCAGGTGGTTTGGGAGAGAAGTGGGCAAGTTTGAGTACTTGACATTACACACAGGTACCTGTCTCCCGACAGCACGATCTCAACGCCTGGATACAACACACATGCAGCTCTTGAAAAACAGCCCATGAGTTGAAATGCTGAGCCGAACACATGTAGCTGTTCTGTTCATAACGGGTAATGAGTTCAACTTCTGACTACGACATGCACGTAGCATGTGAAAAAGGCGCCAGGAATTCATATCCTGAAGGTACACACACGTAGCCCACGTCAATGAACAGGTCATGAGATCAAATCCTGACGCTAAGCACGTGTATCTGTCTGTCCGACTCTGTCCATACAAGCTCCTGTGTTCAAATTCTGAAGATAAACTCGTTTCTATGTAGTAGTTACCGTTGCTGACAGCTCTTCCGGTTGCTGACATCTCCACTTTCTATCTGTACGGTCCCCTCAACCACTGCCCGCCTCTTTCTACCCCATCCCCTGTTTGTGCACTGCAGCTGGCCTCTGATTGGTACCATTAAGAGGGCAAAGTGCAAGGGAGGCTAGGTTTTCCTAACCGTGGGCGGGACCAGGGTCCATTCCCAATAGTCGGCAGATACAAGCATGACTCGACCAGGGTCCATTCCTAATAGTCAGCAGATAAGAGCTAGACAAGAGTTAGACACGAGCATGACATGGTTACATACCTGCAAATGACGGTGATTGATCTCGTATATGATCTCCATGTGTCGGGGAAGAAGTGCTTCAATCATCGGAACCGGCCATCTCTCCAGAGACTCCGGAAGAATTGTATGATTGGTGTATGAGAATGTTCTTGTTGTTATGTGCCATGCATCCACCCATTCCATATTCTGCATAGCCAACCAACCATAATAACATACATAAGAAAAAAGGCGTCAATACTGGCAAATCCTCACCAGAGCTCCTTCCCATCAAATCATGGTTAGGTGCCCACGATGCAGCTGCAGGTCTCTATTTGCTTCCTTACCTACATCTGCTATGCGCAATTGCTAACGACTTCACCATAGTCAATCAAGCGCAAATAAAGTGCCTAGTTTAGCTCACAGGCGATCAGCCAAACTCGGTGTGTAATTATCCAGATTGCAAAAGGAGGCACACAGATTATGCAAAAGTGGTCCAATCCCTGAAAAGCAACGAAGTGACCTCCGCTGCAAGGACGGCACATTGTAGAAAAGAAGGGAGGGGGGAAAGACGCCCAACGTTTCAGAGCCCAAACTATGCACTTCAGAGCAGAAAGTTGTCATTGGCCCAGTGTTCAGAATGCCATTCATTTATCATAATTATTATTCCATTCCTGTCAGAGGCATTGCATAACCAAGAACTTCATCAGCAAAACCAACCAAGACAGCCTGCTTCTATTCCTGTTCTTCTGAGAAAACACAGCCACACACTTGAGAGATGGCAAAGCCACCGACGGACCCATCCACTCAAGACAAAACACAGCCACGCACTCGTGCATGCACGGACACACACACCACACAAACAAAAAAGATATACACACACCGGGAGAGAGAGAGAGAGAGAGAGAGAGAGAGAGAGAGAGAGAGAGAGAACAGAAATTGATGAAACAATTATGTCACGGTCCCGAAAGAGGAATTTGGAAGAAGAATAGAAAGGCAAACATGCCACTGTGCTCCATCATCAGATAAAAAGCTGCTGCTGCTTCAGAAGCAAAGAAATTCAGAGAAGCCAACACCGAAAAGATGCCTACCTCATCATCAAGCAGAAGCCGCATGAGCTCCGGGATGGCAATGGTAGGATGGGTGTCGTTGAGCTGGATCGCCACTTTGTCATGGAAGAGGCTCAGCGGTTTCCCAGTCACCTTGTACTTGGCCACAAGGTCCTGCAGAGTGGCACTCACAAAGAAGAACTGCTGCTTCAAACGAAGCACCTTTCCAGCCTCAGAATTATCATTCGGGTACAGGACGCTGCTAATCGCCTCAGCACGTGCCTTGGAGTCGACAGCCTGCACGTGTTGCCCCGCATTAAATCTCATGAGGTCCAGGCCATTTGAAGGCAAACTGCCAGAAACCAATTAAAAACCAAGAGATTAGAGATCCAATTAGCCCACCCCAGGCCATCAAGCCCATCTTCAAAACCCTCTCTCTCTCTCTCTCTCTCTCTCTCTCTCTCTCTCTCTCTCTCTCTCTCTCTCTCTCTCTCTCTCT